ATCTCCTCTAGAGCAGTGATGTTCCTTTTATCTCTGTCATTGCCAACAAAGGGTATATAACAAAGTATTGAGATGAACTTTTGTTATTGACCAAATACTTATTTTCCACCATATTTTGCAAATAAATTCTTTAAAAATCAGACAATGTGATTTTCTGGATTTTTTTTTATCATTTTGTCTCTCATAGTTGAGGTATATCTATGATGAAAATTACCGGCCTCTCTCATCTTTTTATATATATATATATATATATATATATATATATATTGTCGGCTTGTTTCATTATATCCACAAAGTCTTCATCCTAAATGGTCCTTGCAGGCAGGCCAGAACGCCCAATCCACTTTGCCATTGAGTTCTCCAGGGCTTTCTGTTCTTTGCCATCAGGTTTGTACGATGGGAGTGCTCCCAACATCTCTGAAACAGAATTCCCTTCCTACCCCAACCTCTGATTTGGCTGTGGTGTCACTGTGTCAGGTATCTATTTGGGAGGAAGAAATTTAAACCATTAATATTCAGTGTATAAGTAGAACATCTTTTCTCTATGACAGAGAGACAGACAGATACAGGACCGCACACACACACACACACACACACATACACACATGCGTGCACGCCTGCACACACACACACAAACACACCTGTTCCTACTACTACAGGCCCACCAGTTCCTTACCTTCTTCCATATGGTTGCATGTTGGCACCTCAGATGTCGCTTGAGGTTCGTTGTGTTCTTCCCTACCTTTTTGAACCGCAGACTCTATGGTGGCGTCCTTCCTCCAGTGTTTTCCTTCGCATTGTAAACGAAATGGCTCCATACATCCAGGCATTGTTTTTGCCCAGGTCCTCCAACAAACCCTACACCGGTATCCGAGCCCAACGCAATGACTGCAAAATTGAGCTATGAGTAAAACCCCCAGATTCCACATACTCTGTCAGCGCTCCGCTCGGTCCCGCTAACGTACAGGTCCTTCTCAAAATATTAGCATATCATGATAAAGTTCATTATTTTCCATAATGTAATGATAAAACTTCAACATTCATATATTTTAGATTCATTGCACACTAACTGAAATATTACAGGTCTTTTATTCCAGACTTTGGAGGACCTGTGGAGGAAGTGGACTGAGTCTGGAGTAGAAACATCCAGAGCCACCGTGCACAGGCGTGTGCAGGAAATGGGCTACAGGTGCTGCATTCGCCTGACCTGGGCTACAGAAAGCAGCACAGGACTGTTGCTCAGTGGTCCAAAGTACTTTTTTCGGATGAAAGCAAATTTTGCATTTCATTTTGAAATCAAGGTGCCAGAGTCTGGAGGAAGACTGGGGAGAAGGAAATGCCAGAAGTCCAGTGTCAAGTACCCACAGTCAGTGATGGTCTGGGGTGGCATGTCAGCTGCTTGGTGATGGTCCACTGTGTTTTTATCAAGTGTAGGGTCAATGCAGCTAGCTATCAGGAGATTTTGGAGCACTTTATGCTTCCATCTGCTGAAATTAAAATATAGTAACAACACATTGATTACTACAAATTGGAGGATAATTCTTATATATTTAAAAAAAACAACGACCTAAAACCATTTATTTAAAAGATTGGATGCAAACTATTAGTTTTTCAAGCAGGGAAGGATATAGGATTCTAGGAGATCAGGGGCTTACTGTAGCCCTGAGGGTGAAGATGACAGTGTAGACTTTCTGGTAAATCCTGTTCTAATGTAAAATATGACAGATTACTGGATTAATGAAAATTCTACTATACTATTACATATACTATGTTATCAGAGGGAAACCAAATATTTTAGCCACCTGATCCGTTTTCCCTTTCCCTACAGTATCTTTATGAAATACCTTCTCTATTTAAATGTTTATCTAACAATTTAAAAATATTCCATAGCAATTCTTCTCCAGACATTTTGAATTGAAAATACATTTGATAAAGATCATCAAACCAACAGTCATATTTATTTTCTAGGGTGCGGCTACCTGGGCTACAGCCCAAATATCAGGTGGCTAAAATATTTGGTTTCACTCTCATAACTTTGGCAAATAATGATCAAATGTCACTAAATCCACAGAGTTTGTTGTTGATGAAGAGAGGAACAAACCCAGTTAAAGACCTGCAGGTAAATGAATGTATTCCCATGTTATGGAGGGGGAACTGATTATTTCAGGGCTGAAATATCCATTCTCTCCTCCCCTCCTCTTCATATCATATCTTTGGGAAATAAACAGCAACTGTTTCCAGATTCTCTAAAATTGTTATGAGTGATAGCATGTAGTAGCCTATAGTAGAATTTTCTTTGATCCAGTAAGCTGTTATATTTTACATTAGAACGGGATTTACCAGAAAGTCTACACTGTCATTTTTGTAATGAAATATTAATTATTGTGCCCTGCTATTAGCCAGTTTCCATCCTCTTATATCAGCAATGAAAAATTATTAATACACACTACATGTTGGAAATCTGTGTTTGGAGACTGACTTTTATTTCTGTCAGGCTTAAGTGAGATTGATTCTCTTGGTGAATCGAGATTTATGAGCCATGGAAGAATGGACATTAATAAATGTAATTGTTTTCAATTGATTTGTAATTGTTCATATAAGTGTTTCTTGACACCAGTGGCGGATCTAGGGTGCGGCTACTTGGGCTACAGCCCCGGATGTTTCCCCAAGCGTCCTGGATCTCGCTTCTGAGCTGATCTGAGTAAAACGTGCAGTACTGGAATTCATCGGATGGTGGCAGCATGCGCAGGAAAGCAGCCTGTAGCATTCCCGTGCAGAAGAAGAAGTTGCCAGCTGTAGCTGTTGGTAAACAGCCTGATGTCCCAGGGATGTGAAGCTCTGACTGACTCCAGACATTCTTTGTCCCAGTGTTGTATGAAATTGTGTTTCCATTGTGTCGGGAGCGCGCATTGAGCCAGAGAGGCGGACGTGGCAGATCTGACAACTTTCACGGCGCTTCTCATCAATTTCTCGCTAAAAAACATCTCCTATAATCGTGTCACGGTTGTAACATCCACTTTAATCAGTAGCTGTTGTTTACAAAATTGTAAAATAAATAAACGATTTCCCTTTTATGCTGTTTTCCGTTGTTTTTTTCAAACACCAAGAAAAACGGTCTCACTTAGGCCTGACAGAAATAAAAGTCAATCTCCAAACACAGATTTCCAACACGTAGTGTGTATTCATTTTTCCATTGCTGATATAAGAGGATGGAAACTGGCTGAGGGCACAAGAATTAATATTGACTACAAAGATGACAGTGTAGACTTTCTGGCGAATCCCGTTCTAATGTAAAATATGACAGATTACTGGATTAAAGAAATTTCTACTATACTACATGCTATCACACATAACAATTTTAAACAATCTGGAAACAGTTGCTGTTTATTTCCCAAAGATATGATATGAAGAGGAGGGGAGGAGAGAATGGATATTTCAGCCCTGAAATAATCAGTTCCCCCTCCATAACATGGGAATACATTAATTTACCTGCAGGTCTTTAACTGGGTTTGTTCCTCTCTTCATCAACAACAAACTCTGTGGATTTGGTGACATTTGATCATTCTTTGCCAAAGTTATGAGAGGAAACCAAATATTTTAGCCACCTGATATAATCCGTTCTCTCTTTGATGGTCTTTATGAAATACATTCTCTAAATGTTTATCTAACAATTTACAAATATTTCAAACAAAGTTCAAACCAAATATCTGGAGCAATTCTTCTCCAGACATTTTGAATTGAAAATACATTTCATAAAAAACATCAAACCACCAGTCAAATTTATTTTAACTCTTTTGGATTTCAAAATATAAAATAATAAATGTTTGAAATATAATATAGGAAAAAAAATAGTTTCAATATTCACAGGATTTGTTTATTGTTTCCCATTTTATGGGGAAACGGATTATATCAGGTGGCTAAAATATTTGGTTTCCTTCTCATAACTTTGGCAAATAATGATCATGTAGTATAGTAGAAATTTCTTTAATCCAGTAATCTGTCATATTTTACATTAGAACGGGATTTACCAGAAAGTCTACACTGTCATCTTCACCTTCACCCTTTCATTAAGCCAAAGATCCTCCCATGCTTGACATGATCGTTCACTGTTCATGAGCAAGGCATTTTAATTTGCATGGAACATTTTGTTTTTTTCTTATTGTTTTTTAGAAATAAAAATTCTAGAATCAATATTTTATTTGACTAAATTATCATTTAATACATTTTTATCTACGATTACTTTTTCAGCATTTTATTATTTAAATTACTAGTGTGAATTTATAATTAGCTTTAATGGGAGAATGCGTAATCTTTGAAGCACAAATGTATCTGATAAATATTTAGGTTTGTGCCGTCTGATGCAGATTCATTTTACTTTTCTTACGTTGAAATAGGAACGGGTCATGAATAATTTCAAGACAGAGCAAACTCAGAGAGCAAACTTAATACGCTTTTATTTTCCTCCATGTTGAAGGTTAGAGCCTGTTTAATGAGTAACCGAAACGTTAAGCTTCAGTTTGTGTTTGTTCTCCAGATGAAGCTGTTGGTGCTCATCCTTCTGTCGGCCCTACAGGCCATCTCCTCGGCCAGCCTGAAGGAGATTGTGAAGAAGAGCATCCAGCACGGAAAAGGTGGACATGCTTTGAATAACTTTTTTGAAAATAATTTCTGTTTGTGTTTTATTTGATAAAATGGACAAGTCTTGAGTGAAGCACATCTAAATCTTAAACAGTTTGCTCTTTATCATAGTTGTTTTTTGTTCAATGCATCGAAAAGCTGGTGTCTAACAATATGATTTAACTGTTTAGCACATTTTCCAGTGTCTGTTTAACAAAAAAAGGACTTATATATAGAGAGATTTTTTTTTAGCAAAACCCCTTTTTGCCTGATAATGTAGCGATGTGTGTGAATGGGTGTAGCTAAATGAGGGACCACCCCCCTCTGTTCTCCACGCAGTGAGGGGAACAAAGAGAAATGGGGGAGGGACAACCTATAATCAAGATGGCGGCAACCACGGGGACCCCACGTGGCTGAATGTGATAACTTTATGACTATCTCAAAGCAGAAACAACAAAGAGGACAGGACAGCCAAGAAAGAGAATAAAGAAGCACATACTTATTTCAACCAAATGAAGAAACTCTTAATCAGCACAGATAAAAAAAAAAAACATCAGCATTAATTCAAAACCCTGAATCTGCCTGACTCTCGCCTGAGCAGCACTTCGAATTCATCAAAAAGGAAAGGAAATTGATTTTACTGTGAGATGCTTCCTCGTCCGTGGAAGGCTGGCATTTCCAAGGCAACCGCGGCTTGGTTTCTGCCGCGCAGAGGGTTCTCTTCCACCGGTCCGCCCCTCAGGAAAGTTCAGTCAGTTCGGTGCTACAGCAGAGGGCTTGATATGCTCACGAGTTGAAGAGGATGGATTTTAGGAGGTGGTCGTTATAAGAGCGTCCTCTCAGCCGATTTGTCCAAGGAATGGGGCAAACGAAACTCACTCCG